ATGCGTACTATAATTGTCAGTTCCTTTAGCCACCGCTTGAGGTCTTAATTGGAGTACACCTTTTCAGTTGACATTGTTCAGACATCTAAAAAAAGTTTCACGCTGTCCACAGCAAGTCGAGAGGCTCGTCTGCAATCAACACTTCTCGGATACAGAAACACCGACCACTTACTCACTTTTCACAAATGCCTACTTATTTCGAATAAGTAAGCATTTTTTGTTCTACTGCTTTAGCGGCCTCTGATTTACTCACCATGAACTCAACTGCTGCTTATGCGGGTACGGATCCCGCCGAATGCTGCGAGTTTTTTTTCACAATTGGGTCAACTAAATTAACCAAATGTGCCAAAGCTCCTTAATAATATTTTTATTTTACTCACCAAAATATAGTTGAGGCAAAGGTTCGCATCCTAGGTATGTGCATAGATTGAGAGGAAGTGGTTTCGATCACTGAAATCTGAGTTTTATTTGTCTGAGCTTTCGAACTCTTGCGGGAGTCCATCGTCAGAGATAAAACCGTCAACCGTCAGGGTTTAAATACTATTATTAACATGAATACGTAATAATTTAATATCCTGACCTTTCGAGCGCGCCACTTACAGCTCCCCCTCCCTCCCCAATGGCAATCGATCAGTTAGCGAATTCGCATTTGGCTGGGAGCTGGCCTCCTGCGTCTAGTGTGTATCCATTTGAGTTAACCAATTACAAGCCGCGTAGTGCATGACCTTCCCAAGACCAATCAGATGCCCACGTTGATTCGCTTGTCCAGTTTTGCCTCACGTTAGGTTGGTAAGCGCGACCTTTCATTGGTGCCACTGCTTCTCTCTCTCTCTCTCCTGTAGGTGCCTTCATCGCTATAGACGCGCAACTGGAACGCATGAAACACGAGAACTCCGTGGACATCTTCGGCACTGTGAGCCGTATGCGCACCCAACGCAACTTTATGGTGCAGACGGAGCAGCAGTACGCCTTCCTCTACGAGGTCCTTGTCGAGGCAGCACGGGTCAGCGGCGCTGAGGTCACCGTGCACAGCCTCTACAACTACGTCCTGAAGCTGCGCCAACCCGCACCGACTGCCCTGCTGAGCCAGTACTTTGGCGAGATGGGTAATGGTGGCGTGAAGGCGAATTACGGTGCCCCTCAACCACCCTCCGCCTCCGTCACCTCGATGGACATTGAATTCCAGGTTAGAGGACACAATGCGTATTTTGGAAAGAAATGTAGTTGATGACAAGATTAAATTATTAGAAGGCTTCCCTGCATTAAAAACTCAAAACTCAGAACAGCATTTACATCATTCCACAATTTTCAGCAAAGAAAATCTTCCATCCAAAATGTATAACATTAGGCGCAAAACACCGGGGAATCAAAAGTAAATCACAATCGTAAATGACTGTAATTTTCGACATCGTGGATTAATGTACTCGGAATAACCGCCAAATATAGGCCAAATTGGACTGCTTTCGAAATGGAGCTAGCGTTGTGACCTCATGCACTTATGACCTCATTGTAGTTTAAATAAACCAAGAAGGATATAAACCGATTTATAATGAGCAAATTAGGCCAATCGACATATAAGAAACTTTACTTTTGAATGGAGTGAGGAAAACAAAAGCGGCTTGGTTTGAAAAGGACATTACCAACAAAGATAATGGAGACCAGGATGACCATTTCTGAAAATGCGTTCACCGGAAAGAGGTTTATTAAAAATCTGACGTTTCGGATGCTTTTTTCGGCAAAAGTAGCTTATGAAGCCCCACTCATATACCCCTAATCCAAGCATTTTGTCCTGCAAAAACC